ACAATGACACAGATGATGAATCTCTTCTTAAGAAGATCTTCAAGTTGATTCTTTAACTCTTTCAATTCCGATGTTGACATACGGTATGGAGCTATCGATACTGGACTAGTTCTGGGAACTAAGTCGATTGTAAACTCCACTTCATTCTCCAGTGTTAAATCACTTATCTCTTCAGGAAATACCTCTGGAAAATCATGAGCGATTGTTAATTCACCAATTTCTCGTTTTCCGTTAATATCAAAAGTTCCCATCAACATAAACATAATCTCCTTCATTTTTAGATTCAAGAAAAAATAATTGTCTTGGAAAAATAGTTGATATAAACATGGTTGAATTGCATCCAGTTCATCCCAAGGATAACATCAAGTCTATCTAACGAAAGACACAATAAGTCAACTCCAAAGTCCCTACCAAAAATACTCAACGAACAATGCAAACACACATATGAAGTAGTCACTGAACCCATAGCAGGAGTATCAATAACCATACTTCTATTCACATCAGATAATTCAAGATTTAATCTCTTAACACAATCCAAAGCAATGAAAAAATGTGTCTCTCCAGTATCAATTATAGCAATCAAAGGTGTACCATTAATGAAGCACATACCTCTGATCAATCTATCTTCAACGGTAGTCTCGGAACCCGATAGAGCAAACACTTTCCCTCTAGCTTGAGTTTGCTTCAGTTTATCACACTTGGTACTAATGTGCCCTTGCTCGCCACAGTTGTAGCAAGTCACATTTGCACCTCCCTTGCATTCATAAGCCTTGCGGTCTGGCTTGCCACACTTGAAACACTTTTATTATGTACTTGTGCATTCAGGTACACGATATCCTTCGACACCACACCTAAAACACTTAACTGGAGTAGGAGCTTCTCCCCCACTCAGCTTCTTGTCATAACTAGCTTTCTGTTTCCCCTTATCAGCAGAAGTCAAATACGGCTTTCCTTTGAATCGACCCTTTCCTTTTTTCTCGTTCAAATTCTTATAGTGAGTAGAACGAGCTCTACTATCCTTATCATAGGTCCTACTCTTGTTAACAAGTTCAAAAAATTATCTAATCTCCTGATAACCAATGGCTTGCTTGATCTCAAGCCTCAAACCATTCACAAACTTAAGACATTTTGATCTCTTAGCATTAGCAGTATTGTAATGAGGACAAAACTTGATCAGCTCTTCAAACCTTGCAGCATACTCTCCCACAATTGAGTTACCCTGCTTCAGCTCAAGGAACTTGATTTCCTTCTTCCTACACACATATTTTGGAAAATACTTCACCATAAATGCTTCTCTGAAAACAGCCCAAGTAACCTATGTTTCCTCTTCTTCAAACCCCTAGCTAGTATTACCACACCAGTCCTCAACTTCTTTTTCAAGCATATGGGTTCCAAACTATACCTTCTACGCATATGAATAGTTCATGACTCGAAACATCTTCTCGATCGCCTTCATCCATATCTATGCCTTTTTCAGGTTCTTGCACTCCTGTGAAAATCAGCGGATTGTTCCTCTGAAACTTTCCCAAAGCACAAAACTCATCATCATTCTTGTTCCTAATATTCACGTTGATTTGCTTATTCTGCCCAATTGCGCCAACCAGTATTGTCAAAGCTTCAACAATCCCGTCGTCATTCCTTCCTCCAACCATTATTCTGAGAATTTCCAACAACAATTCTCGTTAGAACAGATAGTACCGATAATGTCATATACACATATCGAATGTAAAAGGGGATAAACACATTAAAAACTTGGTCAACTGACCGACTATGCTCTGATACAACTAATATAACACCCTTCTAAAACCTCGTATAATAATACGTCATAAATCAAAGTAATATAACATGCATATCAATTGAGGATGTCACACATAATTCAAAAACCACATACACCTATCATGCAATAACACTTAATAAAAGTTCATGTTTTCCATACACTTTCACAGAAGCATATAGCAGTGGAATCACTTTCATTCATAATGAATATAATAATTAATCTTATAATCAACTCATTCATTTCACCACATAGACATAAAATCCAGTTCACTACATAATTCAAATGAGAATAACAAAATAAAATAGAGTATACAATGTATCTCTTAAAACAAGAAAATTAAAATCATTCCCCAGTGTTGCATAACCAGATCATGACTCAAAACCAAAAGACGAAGATAAAATAAGCTAACTCCTCCAGCTACTCTCTTGCTAGAAGAACTCTAGTCTTCAGTACCTGAACGATGTCGTATAAAACATCATTCCAGCAGAAGGGTGAGAATTCACATAATTACCAAAATTATATAATAACATATAATACGTAACATACATGGATAAAGATAATATTCTCACACTTTATATAATTTATTAACATAACATCACCCGATAACATCATATTATTCACAAGTACGCATTCACAATTTCACAGTTTCACCAATACATCAACTTCACACAATGCACACAACTTCATGTTCCATCAAATGACACAATATGTCTCAATACAAGACTTAATGCAATACTCATGCATGTGGTACCAATCATTGTTATTCTTATTCAGTTTTTACTTTAAATCGGGTATGACCCCTAGACCAATAACACACAAAATCTCATTCCCTAAGCTTTCAAACTCCGCTCTAGGTTTGGGACAAGTCACTAGCTTCCACGGAAGTAACAAGAATTGCCTCTTGACAATAAATGATGCATGTGAAATTCCAACAATTATATGAAATTAAGAACATCCCTTAATCTTAACACACGTGCATATATCTCATAATTCATCACAATTGAATTATCACAAAATTGCACATACATACACATTTTCATGAATTATCCACACACAATTCATTTTCATAGAACAACCATGTCAAACCATCACAATAACACATAACAAGCAATGTACAAAAGTGTTATTCAATTCAATCACAATCTCACAAACATACATAATACACATAAATCGAATTTCACATTTTGATCAAATAAGCATTCAAAATACATCCAACAAAATTCTAAAATTAATTATAAATTATTATAAAGTATAAGAATACATAACTTTGTTCAAAACTAATGAAAATAAAAATTTCCAACTTCCATTTCACGCTAAGCACGCTACCTGGCGCTGAGCATCTGACTTCCTAAGGCGCGTTCGCTGAGCATGCTAAACCGCGCTAAGCACCCTCTCCGAAAACCAGAAATTTTTTTTGCGATGACAACACTTCTTCCTATACGGTTTTGAACCCCAAAACACATTTTTTTACATCCAATTGCCACTATTTGAAGCATTATAACATATACCTAACATGTATATCACAACACAATCAATCATCATATTCAATGATTTTTCATTCAAACCTAACAATTTTAAAACCTAAGGAATTGGGGTTTTCATCCTAAGCATACGACTACCTATTACATGTCATTATACAATTCTCATAACAATGTAAGAACTCACCCTTACCTTGTTCTAGGTTGATTCCACTGACTTTTTGTGTTCTTTCCCTTTTTCCTCTTTCACGTTCTTCTCTTCTTTTCATGTGTAATGATTTAAGTCTTTCTCTTACTACTCTTATTTCTTTTTATTAAGCCAATAAAATAATACAAACTTCTAATCCTAACTAACAAGTTAACGGGCTTACTATCCACACATCCACTAACCTTTCACATTCTTACATAATAGGCCTAAATACCATTATTCCACTATCCGACATTATATCTAAACGATAACTCAACGGTTCTAAGGTATCAAACCGACTTAACCCATCACATAGAATACACGTCGAACATTTAAATTAAATCAGATATTTATAAAATCAAACAAATAATTAATTACTCAAATATATAAATAATTATTAAAATTGGGGTGTTACAGCAAGGGATGCCTCATCTTAGCGCCCTTCCTTAGGGACTTGAAGTCTCCTTATGAAGGATCTAGCCCAAAGTTTCATCTAAAGGACAATATCAAAGTCTGGTCCAAGTGACTTAACTTAAAAGTCTTTCCTGAGTGTTGTGACCAAAGTCTCGCCCGAGAGACCCAACACCTCACCTGAGAGACGTAGAGTCCACCATACAGACTCAACCCCTATTCTGACTTGAAAAACTTAGAGTCTCGTGAAAAAGGATCATTTAAACACCCTGCCTAAGGGAATTAAATTCTCCTCATACAGAATCTAGCCTAAAGTCTTTCTTGAGGGACACGACCGAAGTCTTGTCTAAGAGACTTAATTTAAAATTCTACCTGAGGGTTGTGACTGAATACTCACCCGAGAGTCCTAATGCCTCACCTGAGGGACTTAGAGTCTCATAAAAATGATCATTTAAACGCCCCTCTTAAGGGACTTGATGTCTCCTCATACGGGATCTAGCGTAAAGTATCGCCCAAGGGTCGTGACCAAAGTGTATCCCAAGAGACTTAAGTTAAGAATATTGTGAATGAAATCTCGCTCGAGAGACCCAACATCTCTCCTAAGGGACTTAGATTCCACCATACAGGTTTAATGTATAATCTTGCCCGAGGGACTTAAAGTTCATTAGACATGCACAATGTATGATCTCGCCCAAGGGACTGAGAAGAAATTAAATCACTTTTCCCTTTATCAAGCCTCCGTGCTTAAGGGATTGTGTATTTATATATTTGTAAAAGACCTACTAATGGGAGAGGGAATCGTTGTCTCCAGTAAAGGGTAATGCTTCCTAGGGGATACAGTCTTCTACCACCCGTAAGTGAGGTAACCTTAGTCTTATCATTTCTTACTTTCCCCATCATGGGACATGTAGGAAAATACACATCTCGATTAGAGAGAATTCAAAGAATAGACTCAACCACGTCTTCCAAGGAAGTAGAGATTCAATGACCCAATATTATGACTGAGTGGGCAATTATTATTCCCGAGAAACCCTAGACTT